TGTACGCTTACAATGCCTCGGTACACAAGGTTATGAGCCAAGAATTGGAAAATGAAATTAAAATATTTAAGTGGTTACTTTTGATCAGCACAGCCTTGATGGGCCAATAGGGCTTTTTGACGTGTTGTAGACCTCTATGGCTCAAGACTGTGTGAACCTCAACTGCCACCTAATCCATCAACTTATCTATGCTCAGAGTTTCACTCTGTCCTCCTCACAGTTTACACTTTTAAGTGTTGTTTCAGTTTGTAGATGACACATGGTCCCTGCACACCAATACCTTGATTAATATACATCAGGAAAAAGCCAGAGTCCCATACCAATCTTTGGGGACCTGCAAAACAACTCCCTTTTGTCCGAAAAATCCATCGATCATTACTGTTTCCTATCACTCAGCCAATTTTGTACCTACATTACTACTGATCCGTTAATTCCATGACCTCGCACTGTCTTCAAGTCTGTTGTATCAAACATTCAATAAGTGCACATACACCCCATAGATAGCTTTAACCTCATCACAGCTCTGTCACCTCTTGAAAAATACCTGAAGTTAGTTAAACATAATTTCTCCTTTACAAAAAGTTGCTGCAGTACCCTAACTTCCAAAAATGGGTTCAATTCCAAAACAATTAAAGGATTGGATAACGGTTCAACTGATCCTAGTCCTTCAGGTACCCCAATTTCCTCTAACAGCACTGCGGGCATACATGCACCACATAACTATTCATGAAGGTGGCTCACCATCATCTTCAAAGGGAATTAGGGATGGGGAAATAAATGCTGTCCTAGCAAGGGATGAACACATGCCATAGGCAAAATAAGAGACGTTTTGGAAATAGTTTATCATGCCACATCTGTTCACCCAAAACATTTTCCTGTTATTAATCAGCATGTGTGAATTTATTGGAATTTAAAAGACAGCAGGGCAAATAAAAGAACAAGATACTTGCTTCGCAGGTCATGAGCTAAATTGTTGGCTGAAACGTTTGTGAAAGCAGATTCAATAACTTTTAAATGGAGAACTGGATAAATTTTCAGGGTGAAATGCAGAGTCAGAGGCTCCAGGGAAATTATAAAAATGAAACTGCAAACATGAATTTTATTAGCTTACTTCACAAGGTTTACACAAATGACCTGATCAGTGCTTTCAAAATTCACTGAGTGACAAGGTTTTTAGTATGAAATGTTTTAAATCAGCTTAGATTGCGCTGAGAGAAAAGCTTCTGTTAATTAAGAGTCCTTGAAGTATGATACAACTTTCAAATGGAGCTGATGCACAGAACAATGAGTGAACACAGACCAGAAAGAAAATTTTGAAGTCATAAAATGACAATTCAAAACTCATGTACTTGCTCCATTAATGCTGAATGTTCACTATATTTTTAATTAGACTAACTGTACACTAAAAATAAAAGACGCACAAGTTCCTTACAATTGCAGCGACTAAATCCTGGAACTCTAATCCTGACAGCATTGTTGGCATACCTACACCCCATGGACTGATGCAGTTCAAGAACCACCACGTTCTCCAGGACAATTAATATGGCATTGCCTTGCAATGACAGACTTGGATGGACTTTAAGAATTCATCCACAGTCCGTATTTACAGTGGAGAAAGACATGGAAGCTGGGGAACTTGGGGAAATAAATATTGATGTCTTGAAAAAAGTCCATATCACCTACGAGGTGGTGCTGGAAGTCTTAAAATGCATAAAAGGTAAATAAATCTCAGGAATCTGATCAAATGCATCTGAGCGAAACAAGAGATGAAATTGTTGGGCCCCTAGCAGAAATGAGTTTGCATCATCTGCAGCCATGAGCACAAATATCCCAATTTTTAAATGATGAAAGGGCCCAGCACATCACTGCAAAAACTAAGGCTGAAGCTTTCGCAGCAATCTTCAGCAGGAAACGCAGATCCATCTTGGCCTCCTGCAGTGGTCCCCAGCGTTACAGATACCAGTCTTCCGCCAATTTGATTCACTCCACATGATAAGAAGAAACTGCTGGAGACATTGGATACTGCATAGGCTACGGGTCCTGAAAACATTCTGGCAATTGTACTGAAGGCTTGTGCTCCAGAACTTGTCGTTCCCCTAACCAAGCTCTTCTAGTACAGTTACAACACTGACATCTACTTGACAATATGGAAAATTTCCCAGCTATGTCCTGTATATAAAAAGCAGGACCAATCCAACCTCACCAGTTACCACCCCAGAATCTTATACGTTTAAATAAGACCACCTCACATTATTTTCAACCACAGTGAGCATAGGCCCATCTGCTCAACTTTGCTTGCAGAGGACAAAGGTGATTCACTTTGTTGGGACTAACATAGGAAACAATTCAAAATCAAAGGGTTCAATTCTAAAAGGGATGCAGGAGCAGAGAGTTCTGGATGCTGGTTTGCACAATCATTGAAGGGAGCAGGAAAAGGTCAAGAGCACAGTGAGTGAAGCATATGGAATCCTAGGCTTTGTCAATGCTGTATAGAGTACAAAAACAAGGAAGGCATGTTAAAATTGTATAAATATTAGTTTAACCTCAGCTGGAGTACTGCATCCAGTCCTAGACACCATATTTTAGCAAAGATCTGAAGAAATTAAAGAGGGTAAGAGAAAGATCCACAAGAATGGTTTCAGGGATGAGGTTATTCACTGTTAGCAAAGGTGGAGATAGTTTCTCTGGTAGAAGGAAAAGTTAAAAGGAGATCTGATACGTATTTGAAATTATGACTTGTCTGGATGGAGTAGGGACGGGCAAAATCTGTGGCAATTCATAGACCGATCAAGAACCAGAAGGAACAGACTGAAGGTAGTTGTCAAAAGCAGCCATAAAAACGTCCATGCAGCAAAGAGCAGTTTGAATCCAAAACACACTGCCGAGAACATGGTGGAGGCAATGAACTGAGGTTTTCAAAAAGAGAATTGAAGCATTTTGTAAGAAAGAAAGACTTGGAGCGGTACAGGAAAATAATAAACAGGAGCGTTAATTAACTGTGCGTCAGGGAGCTGGAATTTGATGTGACACGTTCAATGGCTACCTGCACTATATGCCATCTATAAATAGAGCTTTAAAAACCTTGTAATTTAAAAACTGCAACATGCTCATGGCTCAATCACCCAAGTCTCTGCATTACATTCTACCTCTGACCGAACCCAAACGACTCATTACACAAAAGGTCAAAGAAGCCATTCAATTGCATAAAAGCTGCTACAAAAATGATAATCCACATAGACTGCAGCAGTTCACCACTATGTTTAAGGTTAGTTTGCAATGGCCATTAAATGTCAATCTTGTTAGTGACAGCAACATCCCATGAACGGATTTTTTTTTTTTTTTTTTTAAAAAACTGTACCGTCTGCAAATAAAACCTTGTCTGAGTCATACTAATCTTCCATTTGATGAGCTTTGGAAACAGACATTTCAGCTACACAGCTGTATGATAATTCCAATATTATTTCAAAAAAATTCAAATCTTTCCAGTCAATTTAATCAAGAATATCAAAACTGGCAATTCACTCTTCATGTCCAATTGAATTGTTACCAATTTAAAGTTCAGTTTCAGATAATTTCTAAGAGAACATAAAGTTCAGTTAACTTAATCTCACCAACCCCTCAACACATTTCTGTTGATCCCCAAAACTTGAACTTCATTTCTCCTTCTGACAAAGGACCACAAACCTGAAACATGGTCTCTGCTTCAAATGGATGCTGCCACACCTGTTCAGTGTTTCCAGCATAATTTGTTTTTAATGCACCCGCAGTTCTCTTGTGCATTCCCAACATTTTAACAGCATACATGTTACAAATGCTCAAGTAGTTTGTTTCATTAACCTGGCTTCCCCTGCAATGCTTTGAGAGTTAATCCTGAATTCTTGCAGTGGGACCTATTACTTCTCAGTCATCTTGTCATGGTACACGTTTTGCCTCTCTATGCTGCACTCTCATAGAAAACAAACATGCGCACAGAAGTTATTTCATCCACAAAGGCAAGATATGTTTTTATGTTTCTATCCATTTAGAAGGAAGTGTTTTATCAAAAAGAATATTCGGGGGAAAAAAGGCCACAGTTCTCAAATGTGAATATACTCTTCCTTTCCACGTGCTCCACACCATTTTAAATCAGTCACCAATGAAAGGTGTTCAAGTTATGCATGCCCCCTCTACAACCCAAAATATTTATGAACCAAATCATTGCAGAGTTAATCTAACATAGACTTCATGTGAGTAAAAGGACCGCTGGTTGACACCCATTTCCTTCGAGTTACAAAATGAGAACTTTTTAAGATTAAAGTGCAACCGAGACAATGATAGATCCTGGAATAGTTGAACTGGGTACAGAAAGAGAATGGTGCTGTGCTATTCAAGTCAGATCTTTTCAATCAGCCACATCTACGTCTATGCAGGAATGGGGGTAACATAAGCATAAAAAATGAACAACCCTTCACACCTATTCTATCACTTAACAGAACACATTTGATGTCAAGTCCCCTTTTCCATTCAATCCCCATAATTGCTTGAATTTTCCTAGTGTTCAAAGATCTATTAGCTTTGAAGATGTTAATGAAGAAACATCCATAAGTTTCATTGGTAAAGAATTCCAAAATTCACAATCTAAGAGAAGAACTTGATTCTCAAATGACTCTTGATGAATCTTGTCAAAGACTAATCCTCAAAACCCTTAACGGAAGACAGAAAAAACAAACAACATACACTCTGCGAAACCTCCCAAACTTTCTATGCTCAATTAGACCACCACTCATTCTTCTGAACATCACGCGGTTCAATTCCCAAACCCAGATCATCAGTATAAAAAACACATTGCAGATGTTGGAAAGCTGGGATAAAATGCTCAAAATACACAGCAGCTCAAGCAGCCATTCACCTCTCTACATGTGCTAACACTGCAGGCTGGTGACCTATCATCAGAGCTAAAAATGAACAAGACAAGACAAAAGAAATAAAAATCCCACAATACATTTCAACAATTGCATTACCTGCAACAACGGATGATGCAATGTTACTTCCAGATGTGCTGCACGATGTGCAGGATCTTGACTATCATCTTGGATTTCCAGGTCCTCCTCAGGAATCGTATCCCATTTGCCCTGGTGTGCTGCCAGGTGATGAACCAACACATACTGACCTGGCAAAGCCAGGCTAATACTGGTCCTCTTTCCGTGGGTGAACTTCAAACGTCTCCTTTTACACTTCTTCTCATTGCTGCTCCTGATGACTGGCAAAAGTTTTTCACCCAACAGACTGTTTAGTACATGACACTTGGCCCCACAGTTCTGACCCAGGATCATAATACAGGGAAAAGAGCCCACTGTTGCCTGCAGGTACTCTTCTTCATGTCGTGGGAATGATATGCAGCTCAAAGAACCTACAGAACAAGGGAGAAATTGGCAATGTTACTAACAACATCCTGTATATTACATAGCAATTGGAAGTGAACCGGACCTGTCATATAAATATAGTGTGGTTACAACAATTGCCAAAGACTGAATATTTTCCAAATCATTCACTTTATGATTCCCAAAAGTCACACTCCACAAGGCTCAAGTCAGAAACGTGATCAAATACTCTCCATTTAACTAGATGAGTGCAGAATCAACAAGACTGAAGAAGCTAGACAATATCAGAATCCCTTGAGTCAGGAAAGAGGCCATTCTGTCCATTGAGTTTGCACCTACCCGTATAGCATCTTGTCCTATCCCACACTTCTGCATTGACCATGATTAATCCACCAAACCTGCATATCTTTGGACTGTGGAAGGAAACCTGAGCACCCAGAGGAAACCTATACAGACACAGGAACAACGTGCAAACTCCACACAGATAGTCACCCGAGAGTGCAATTGAACCCAGGTCCCTGGTGCCTTTAGGCAGCAGTGCTAACTACTGAGTCTCTGGGCCACCCAACCCAGCAGAACAAAGCAGCCCATTCATCACAACCATCATCTACAACATGGATTTGATTTACTTATTATTGTCACATGTGCCAAGATACAGTGAAAAAAGAAGTGTTGCTATGTGTGCTGACCAGACAAATCGTATCTGACAAAAGTATATCAGGATAATAGAACAGATGTACTGCAGAATCTCTGCAAGGTAACTTCAACATTTTCCAAGCCTCCAATCTTGACCAGTTTGAAGAACAAGGGTAGCAAACACATGGGAACAAGAGCAGTTAATTCCCAAACTCAAACCACCCTTAAAATCAGAACTATTACAGTCATTGTTTCACAGTCACTGGGGCAAAATCCTGAACCTCTCTCCTCAATGAAAAAAAGACCACAGTATATCAACTGCACATGAAAGCCTTCAAAAAGGCAATTCACCACCAGTTTCAAGGGTAATTAGGATCAGGAATGTGGCTTAATAAGTGACAGCCATATCACATGACTGAACAAAATCAACTGGCAAATTTCCCAGGGTGCTGTTCATAACTTATTTAAAACAAATCTCACATGAATAGTGTTGAAAAGACGAATTGAAAGAACTGCAAATGCTGGAAATCTGAAGAAAAAATGCTGGAAAATCTCAGCAGGTTTGGCAGCATCTGTAGAAAGAAATCAGAGTTAACGTTTCTGGTCCAGTCACCCTACTTCAGAACTGATGGTAGCTAGAAAAATGATGGTTTTAATGCAGAGGATAGGGCGCCACATAGGCAATTCCTCTGATGCTTTGTCAGTTTCAGAATTTCCAGTTCATGGGTTCCAGACGCCTCTTTACCATGGATGTACAATCTCTTAAGATCACCCCGATGGGGGATGGACGTGTAAAGCTTCTCCACTTTCTTTTGGAGGAAGGGCCTGAACTGTCCCCATCAAGAACACTTCAGTCTGCCTGGCTGAACTTAACCTCACCCTGAACAACTTCTCTTTTAACTCTTCTCACTTTCTGAAGGTCAAAGGGGATGACTTAAGTACCCACATTGGCCCTAGTTATACCCATCTCTTTGTAGGGTACAGAGAACCTTCCTTGTTCCAGTCCTACTTTGGCCCCCACCTACAACTCTCGAGTATATTGATGACATCATCAGTGCTGCTTCCTTCTCTAGTCCAGAATTGGTAAAAAGTTTACGCGTTTCACTTACAATTTCCGCCCCGATCTGAACTTCACTTGGTCCATCTGACTCTTCCCTTCCTTGACATGTTTCCATTGGAGGACAGCCTGGCCACAAATATCTATTACAAACCTACTAACTTCCACAGTTACCTTGACTACACAGCCTCACACCCTGCTTCCTCGAAGACATCCATGCCATGCTCCCACTCCATCCCCATCGCACTTGCCCTGATAATGTCAACTTCAAGCAGGCCTCCGAAACGTTCACCTTCTTCCTCAATTGAGGACTCCCCAGCGCCATAGTTCACAGGGCCCTCAACCACAACCATCTCCCGCACTTCGGTGCTCCCCCTTCTCTTCCCCTTGACAATATCAATAAGGGTTCCCCTTGTCCTCAACTACAATCCCACCAGCATCCACATCCAGAGGATCATTAGCAACCATTTGCACCACCTCCAGCGGCTACCAACAACCATATACACATTCCCTGCCCCTCAGCCTTCCACAGGGACTGTTACCTCCTGGAGGCCATAATCCACTCCTCCTTCACTTCCAACACATCCCTGTGGCACCTTCCTCTAAAATGACAGAAGGTATAATAGCTCACCATTTATTTCCTCCCTCCTCACTAGCTCAGGCCCCAAACACATCTTTCAGATGAAGGAGGACTCTACCTACACTTCATACAATCTAGTCTACTGTATTGGCTGCTCCCAATGTCGTCTCCTCTACACTGGGGAAATGAAGTTCAGGCTGGGTGACAACTTCTCAAAACGCCTACATTTTATCCACAGAAATCACTGAAGTTCTATTTGCATGCCACTTCAACACACCATGATCCCTGGCCAACATCTCTCTTTCAAGTCTGCTGCAGTGCTCCACTGTAGTTTAAAACAAGCTCGAAGAACAGCACCTTATTTTCTACTTGGGAAACCTGCAGCCTTCTGGACTCTATCAACAATTTTAGGACTTTATCACATTTCCCCATGCTTTTCTCCACATCCACACACCAGTCCTTGTCTTCACATGGGTTGCTAACACACAACTCATTGTCAGCTACTAATAGACCCCAACAGCAGCTATCCATTCTCCTATGTTGGTCTTTATCCACTCCTTTGTCTGTCCAACTCTCTCTCTGGGCTCCATCTCCAGATATCGGTTACTCTGCCCCCATCCTCTTCCTAGCCATCAGTTCTGAAGGAAGGATCAGTGGACCTCAAACATTAACTCCGATTTCTTTCAGCAGATGCTGCCAGACCCGAGGTTTTCAAGCAATTTCTGTTAATGCTGAAAAGGCCTAGTTATTCCAATCACCTAGTTGCTCTGATAAGAGGTAGAGGTGGGTATATCCTCCATACAACTGGGCAGCCACTTCAGGGAGCAATTACTAATCTAATTGCAATCACCTAGGTCCAGACTGAATAAAAACAGGAGGTTCCTTCCCAATAACAACACTATAGCAAGAAGTTTTCAATCATGTCAGACAATGCACACTTTGAAAATGACAAGACAATTAGACAACAAAATACCGAGCATTGCTATGATAGATTAAACGGATCAGTTGACGGCAAAGATATTATGATTCTCCTGTTGAGTTGTTGGAGAGTTTATGAATTGAAAACATCAACTTGTGTGTCACAGAAATTTCTATCATATAGGAGTCATGCTGCATCTCATATCTACATGAATATAAAAAAAAAGTGTTACTAATTCATTTCATTAAACCGACTTTCAAATGACAGATAGGAAGGAAACTGAAAGTTGACAAAGATATTTTCCTTCATTTGCCCTGACCAGAGGCACTTATACATCAGAAGTGTCAGTATAGAGCACGTGGTCCACGTGACCACCTGAACACTAGCTTAGAAATAAATTCAGATAAATGGAATTATGTGCGGTCTGGCTTTCTGCATCATTAAGTTACGACCTTACACAATTCTGAAGAGTGACTAAGTTGCAGTAGAAAATTTACAATTGCATTTGGAGCGATGACCAGAACCAGAATCACAGTGCTTGTTCACTCCATGAAATGTGTGTCAGCTTTTTCAAACAACAGTTCAGTTATTGTCACTGTCCTGCTCTTGATGCCTATCCCTATAAAAAGTTCTCCCTCCTTCCAATTATTTACCACCACCCTTTTTGGAATTATGATTCAATTTGTAGCCATCACCCAACAGGCTGGGCAATAGCTTGTATAGCTTATACTTCATAAACTTGTTCGAACATATTCATTTTATTGAAACTCAGAATGGGAGATTAATATTCATCAGGGCCTGTTAGTTAAAAGTTTGCAATTTTTAATACACACACAGCAACTGAGGGAGCCCCATTAACAGCAATGGCACTAACTGTAAGCATCAAACTCAAAACTAATTTAACAAAGAACAAATTAGGTTGGTTCTGGTGGACAACATCCTATTGTACAACCCAAAGCTTAAACTAAAATGACAGTACAACAAACTAGAATAGCATACCTATATAGTTTTCCATCTTCACCCAAGTACCAGCTTGACTGAATTGGCTGCATTTTAAATTATGCCTTAATGTTGCAGTTTCAACCTCTACTTGTTGACTTGTCAATGAAGTGACAACTGTGCTACATTGCTGGACTTGCAATTTTTCAAGCTGAAATAAAACCAAGACCCTTCCATTAAACAGGCAGTTAAAAACCCTTCGCTCCTGAAAGCAAGAGTTGGCCCAGTGCCCCATTCCACAACAATCCTCACCACCAGCAAACTCTCACTTCTTCAATGACTAGGTGGCAAGCACACTGGCTGCCATGCCACTCCCTCACCCCTGTAAGTTCATTAGCACACCTCAACAATTAAGTTGTGTGACACTGACAGATTGCAACCATTGAGTCATAGATGACTTTTTACGCATTACCTTATTGATCAGAAGCATCTGTTGTAAACAAACATCTCAAGTATGCCAGGCTATTCTGCATGAAAACGAAATTGATTTTTGTTTCACTAAATGCAGAAGTCGCTTCAAAAGCGTGCCGATGACTCAGTTAAGCAAGAGCTCCAAACCTCAAATTCGTCTTTAGTTTGCATCGCCTTTAGTGATGATCAAATGAAGGAATGCACAGCTTCTAGTGAGATCTAAATATCAATTTCACACAGCATGGCATGGTAACCAGACTGCCTTATAGACAGCTCCATGATCTCCTGCACTAGCAATATGTCTGTCATAGCAGTTTAAGGCTCATCTGAAATCACTGCCATCTTCTGCACAAGCATAGACGAAACGCAAAAATACGAGTTACAGCATAAGCAACACGCTTTCAACTATTCACTGTTGTCATCATCGCCTATTCAGCTTTGTTTCTTCACTGGGTTACTATCAATAATCCCTTTATCTGCGCCCCGTTTTGGTCTCTTGCTCGCTCGCTCAATCTATTTATTTAACTTCCAATGCACCCCCTTGCAGCTCTGACAAAGGGTCATTGGATTTGGAACAGCAGCGTTTTTTCCTCCATAGATGACACCAAATTTCCTGAGGGTCCCCAGCACTTTTTGTTTATTTCAGATACAATACTAGTTTGAACAAGCAATCTTGACTTCAATTAGACACCACCATTGCCATACTGGAGGGGCAGGTGGGTGGGGGCACGCACAATGAAACTTCCTGAGAAGTCAACAAATTTGTCAGATGAAAAACATTTTGTTACTACTTCTGCAGATAATTCCAGATTCCTGTCAAGAACAAAAAGAACGAAGGCACACAGTTCCAAATCAAGCACACGCTAACATCTGCCCAGAAACAACAGCAAGACACTGCAAATGATAAATTCTGAAATACAAACAGAAAATGCTGGTCAAATTAAAATAGGTCTGGCAGCATCTGTGGAGCAATAAACAGAGCTTATATTTGAATTCAAATGTGACATGTCTTTTGAAGTAGAAATGAAGTTTTATGGAAGAATCGTACAGTTTCTCTCTCTCCAGATGCTGTGGGACCTGCTGAGTTTCTCCAGCACTTTGGTTTTGCTCAGAAACAAGCATGGTTTTCACTGAATCTAGACAATGCCAATTGTCTTAATTTAACTGTGGTCCTGGGAATCCACATAGTTAAAATATATAGATAGAGACTGAATGAATTCCAAAACTGCAGCTTATGTCCAAAGATTTTATAGAGTTCAATTCAGATGCATAAGTTTGAACAAAGTCTTCATGTTCTGTTTTTGAATTACTCAAATTCGATCCAGTCTCATATTTCTCAGGTATGTCAACGTGGGCACTAATTTTAATATGAAACGAGTAAGAAATCACAAAAAACTCAGATCAGCACAATAACATGAAATCATCACATGGAGTACAAGCTATTTTTCACATTCTTGAAACAAAGCAGGGAGTACAACACTTTTCACCTCAATCCAAAAAAAGAATGACCATTTTCTGTACTCCTAACCCAAAATGCCAAAGCTTATTCCTGGTATGGATTTCAACCTCTGCAGTCTATTTATTGCTCTTCATGCGACCATATATTTTTGTCTAATGAATCAGTGAATCCCTACAGTGGGGAAGCAGGCCATTTGGCCCATCAAGTCTACACCAACCCTCTGAAAAGCATTCCACCGAGCCCCATTACCCCACCCTCTCCTTGTGAGACTGCATTTAGCACGACCAATCCACTTCATCTGCACATCTGTGGACTATGGGAGGAAACCCAAACAACCACGGCAAGAACGTGCCAACTCCACGCAGACAGCTATCCAAGGGTGGAATCGAACCCAGGACCCTGGTGCTATAAAGCATCAGGGTTAACCACTGAGCCGCCCCAGAGAGCTCAAACAAATGAATAAGTTGTCTGGCAAATGTTCAGAAAACACAAGGGCCAAACTAAGTGATTGCCTTGTCTAGCACCCCCACCACACCATTCACCAGAAGGGCGGTAACCATGGCAAATTTGCTTTGGCCCCAACCCAGGGATCATACAACTCAGTACATAAAATGCACAAGGCTGAAGAAATGTTCGTAACTTTTTGCCACCACAAACAGGTGATTTTTAATGTTTTTGCATGAACAACAAGTACCAACAAGCTCAGTTAGGTAGTTTCCAGGAAAAACTAAAAGTGCACCAAAAATGTGATTGAGCTAAATTCACATCCAGTATCCATAATGTGGCAGAACTCACCCTTCAGTCTGAGAGGGAGAAGCTGGAATCAGATGTAATGGTATTACAATTGAGTAAAGCAAACTAAAAAGACGACGGAGGAGCTGGCCAGAAATGATTGGAAGGGGAGCAGAGCAGTGAAGATAGTGGAGGAGCAATGGTAGGGGTTTCTGGGGGCAATTCAGGAGGCACAGCAGAAATTCATCCAAAG